TGGATTCTGGTGGGGGGTTCTGGGTGATGGTGGCTTGGCTGAGCTGTGTGGATGGTGATGGTGGGGGCATGCTGAGGGTGGTGTTGGTTGCAGAGCCTTTTAGACCACTCTCCTTCGTTAAGGATGTAGGCATCTGTTGGAGAATAGGGGCTGGAAAAATCCTAGGCTTCCATGCAGGGCATGCCAGTTCAAGCATTCAGTCATTCAACAAGCATTGTATGGACGCTACCGTGAACCTAACTTTATGCTAGAAACCGGGGCTACAGCACAGAGCAAGGTTCTCCTAAGGATTGCCAAGAGAACCCCCAGGTTCCCATCCCAGCCACACAGATGATCTGAATATAAAGTTACAGGAGACAATGAAATTGATTTTATGGAGAACAGAGTGCTGCAAGAGCTTTTCAAGACAGGGTTCCCCTTATGAAAGGAGGTACCATCTGGGGAAGACCCAGTTTGGAGCGGGGAGGCGGTGGCTGCAGGAGAATTAAACACAGGAATAAAGACTCCCAGGCAGAAGGGTGTGAGGAGGGAGCTGAGAGCAGCCTGAGAACCGAAGGGCCATTCACAGAGGACTAAGTATCACGGGCTTCCCTGATGAGGATCCAGGCATGAGCCTTGCTCTCAGAGCGACCCAGCAAATTACCTCTGAGTGCACAGTGGAGTTGGTGCTGTCAAAGTACCAAAAGGCTTTGACTTCCAGCATGAGACTCGGGAGTTGGGCTGGGTCTTTCTGATGACGTGCATTGCAGACTGAAGCATGAGGAGGAACGGGCTGTAAGCAACCTGGCGAAAGAGCTGTAGTTGGAGAGAAGTTAAGTGCAGAGGCCTGAAGGCAGAAATGAGTTTGGAAGGAGAGCACCACAAAACTGCATCTAGGGGGTGATCAGGATGGAGATGAACTATTACCGAGGAACAGATCTGGAAGGGACTTAAAGGCCACATCAAAGAGTTTTCCTGTGTTTTGACTGTGAGAGGAGAGAACAGTGTGTGTAATTTAAAAGTGGGGAATGACAGGTTCAATGGACAGTCTTGTTACTACGTTTTGACTGATTTGGTGTGTGTGTTTGCATGTGTATGCCACAGTGTATGTGTGTGTGTGTGAGAGAGAGACAGAGACAGAGACAGAGACAGAGACAGAGAGTGTCTGGGGACACATTTCGGCAGTTCTCTCCTTCCACCACGTGAGTCCCAGGGTTCGAACTCAGGTCATCAGGCTTGGTGACAAACTTGTACCTCTACTA